TCCAACAATCCAAATGAGTTGAAAACTTATGTCTACACAAAAACTTGCACTCAAATGTCTACAACAACTTTTTCATAATCACTGAAACTACCACAGAGTCCTTCAGTAGATGAGTAAGCAAACTGTGGTCCACCAGGCAATGGCATGTTACTCAGCAATAAAAAGAAATGAGGCATCAAACATAAAAAGACAGGAAGGAAACTTAAATGCATGTTGCTAAGTTAAAGAAGCCAATCTGAAAAGGCTACACACTGTATGAGTCCAACTCTACGAAATTCTTGAAAAGGCAAAACGACAGATAGATAGAAGGGAGGGAGAGATTTTTATGGTAATGAAATCCTCTGAGTGATACTGTAATCGTGGACACATGATGTGATGCAGTTGTCAAAACCTTTACAACTGTACAAAAAGAGATGTGAATTCTTAAAACTATAAACTTTAGCTAATCAGAATCTATCAACACTGGTTGGTCTTTTGGGACAAATCTAGCATACAAATGCAAGATATTAAGAATGGGAAACTGTAAAGAAATGCTTTGTATTATATGCTTAATTTGTCTATAAATTTCATTAAATAAGTATTAATTTTTTAAAAATCTGGATTTGATCAGGATTGAGTCCGCATTGAATATATCAAAGCATCGGCTGATCCAACTTTCAGAGAAACTGTGCTGTCGATGCAGTGGTTAGAAACCAGCACACATTTCTCTTCCAGGCTACTGTGGAGTTGACACGAGAAACCTGGCATTTGTAATGCTTTTAATGGGCTTCCCTGGTAGGTCAGCTGGTAAAAGAATCCATCTGCAATGCGGGTGACCTGGGTTCGATCCCTGGGTTGGGAAGATCCCCTGGAGAAGGGAAAGGCTACCCACTCCAGTGTTCTGGCCTGGAGAATTCCATGGACTGTATGGTCCATGGGGTTCACAAAGAGTTGGACACAACTGAGCGGACTTTCACTTCACTTAATTAGGGCAGAAAAATCACAAATATCTGAGCAGAGTCAGTACTTGCAAACTCCAGTGAGTATGCATAATTGTCCTTGGAGTGGTTTTTAAAGTGTCTGGTGCAGGAGAATCACAGAGCAGTGGGCGTGAATATCTTTATCATGTCAGTCATTCCATCGTAACAGGACACTCCTCTTCTCCAAAGTGATAAATCGATTCTAAATATATTGGATTCACCAACAAAGAATGAAATTGCTCCATTTTCTGTTCAGAAAACAAGTTTCTAAAGGAGCTCTTTGGCTATGCCCGTGACTTTAAATTATAGGCAAGGCACTGAAACACCGCGCTCCCTCTCCCATCCCCTCCCTGCCCCAGTGTAGGGGATGTTGTCATTAGTGTCTATCGATATTTTAACATGAACAGGAATGATGCAATCATTGTACTCTTGTCACAGATATAAAAATACAGATATGCCTTCAGCCAGAAGGGAGGAAATAACTCAACCTAAGCTCTTTTTCATTTCTTTATTACAAACAAAACAAAACTCCTGTATAATCTCTACGAAAAAGAATATTTTAGAAAGTTCCCCCACTGGTGTAACAGCCTTTACAGGATGGCTGCTGCAGGACTCAGAGAGATGGTAAATTTCCCAACAATTGCTGGACCTCACATATTGCAAAATACAGGAAAAAACTAGTTATTTGGAAAAAGGACTTGGGTGGAAGTAAGATAAGAATTAGTGATGAATCTAGAAATATTAGTAGAAAGTTAAAGGCGATTCTAAAGATTCAGTGAAATATATTGAAGGAAAGGCATTTTCGGTGACGGGTAAAATTGAAAGCTGTCCATAAATTAAAGGTGGATTCTGCGCCACTGTTCTTCACGCTGCAGGTTTATTTTCAGCATTAAGGACAGTGCTAAGAGAGGCTAGAGTGGAATATGCATTGAGTGGGACTAAGAATATTCTGCAGGCAACAAAGGAGAAATGTGAGAGCACTAACTTTAAATACGTGAGGGTGAAGAGGAGGTTAAACTAGGACGAACCACTCTAATCCTGCCTAGTGTCCATCAGCACATAGTCGTAGTCTTGGCAGATGGGCGAACTTCATCTGTGTGGACCAAACGTATTGAGAACCCAGACTCTCCCACCACTAGAGTGCAAGAGCTGGTCTCTGCAGTAATAGTGGGAAAACCGCATTCTCAGCCAGGAGACAAAGTCCAAATGCCACCTGTCATCGCTGGATATCTTCCTGTGTGGTAGAGAACACGCTGGGCTCCACACCGACTCTCACCTCTGTGCGCTGTGCTTAGTCATGCTGGCTCTGCGCATCTGTAAAAGGACACTGACTCTAGCCTGAAACATACACAGGAGCCCTTTCTCAATGCTCTGCCTCCCAGGAGATAAAAATGTGCAGAACAGAAAATACCAATTATCTTGCTAGAGAGTCAAAGGAACATTGTGAACAAAGGATTCTGACACCAAGAAGTATGCAATAATCCCCTCCTCTTTGGGTTAAAATAAAGAAGCCTCAGTGCTGAGTTGGGTAAAATGGTTTTCTAGGACACTAGTCCGCCATCTTCTCTGTCTGTTGGCTTCCCAAATAAAGTCACTACCCCCTTGACCCAACCACTGCTCTGTGGATTTATCTGTCAGGCTGCAAGCAGTACACACTTGGACTCAGGAATACCTGCACTGCTCCTGCACAGACAAAATATAGTATACGATTCCCACATCATAGAAATGCTTCCCATCAAAGAGCCAGCCCTTCCCGCCCTTGGCTGCCCCTCCTTTGAGGTGTGTGGGCACCATCACCCTTCTCTTCAGTGTTTGTGCCCAGGTCTCTGAACTACAGCCCCACACAGGAAGCCTCCTTCTTCAGTGCGTGGAGAGAGCACAGCGCACTTGCTGCAGGCACACCCGTGTCTTCTCTCCGCATCTAAGTGGGGCAGCCAGCATCGGCCCGTCCTCTCCACCCTCATCTCATCTCCTCCACAGTGTTTTCTCCTCAGACCATTCCCAGGACATCCAGTTCATGCTTCTGAAATTCTCAGATATTAATAACGCAAGTGTAGGCAGAGAGGGTAGGGGGTCCCCAGAGAAAGGGAACCAGACACGGCTTTCTAGACATAAGAGAAGCCATTTTTGGTCTTGGCCATTGTGAGATCTAAGCCTGGCCACAGTGCTGGCCCTTGAACAGGTCTCAGTCATTAATGATATTAAAGGAAATGCAGAACCAAAGACGACGCAATCAAGAAACAACAGTTGACCGACAGAACAGAGTCTGAGCTCCCCCTAAAGGGCGCAGGTGACAGTCTGCTACGACCACTGTCGTCGTTCAGGCGCTCAGTCGTGTCTGACTCTGCAGCCCCACGGACTGCAGTCCCCTGGCTCCTCTATCCATGGGATTCTCCAGGCAAGAATACTGGAGTCAGTTGCCATTTACAACCACTGAGTTCTGCAGGAATTAAGGACCCCCCCGCAAGGAACGGGCTAGAATGATGATGTTGACCCTTAAAGACCAAGGCTTTGATAAACTAAAACTTGGACTCTGTTGACCTTCACCCCAACGCAATGCTGAATTCTCCTCTGCTCAGGCCCCTTCACGAATGTGCATGTGAAGTGAAAGTTGCTCAGTCGTGTCCGACTCTTTGCAAGCCTGTAGACTACACAGTCCATGGAATTCTCCAGGCCAGAATACTGGAGTGGGTAGCCTTTCCCTTCTCCAGGGGATCTTCCCAACCCAGGGATTGAACCCAGGTTTCCCNGGACTATACAGTCCATGGAATTCTCCAGGCCAGAATACTGGAGTGGGTAGCCTTTCCCTTCTCCAGGGGATCTTCCCAACCCAGGGATTGAACCCAGGTTTCCCGCATTGCAGGAAGATTCTTTACCAGCTGAGCCACCAGGGAAGCCGAATTCATGAATGTGCATGTACCTTAGCTTAAAACTTCCCCAACTTGGCTGTTCCGGGTGGCACTGCCTTGGGAAAGACCCCCAGGGTTCTCCCCACTTGCTCCAAGTGACCGTTCCTTCTTCTCCCTCTGTTTAGCTTGGTTGTGTCTTTTGGCTCAACATCCACCAAAAAGGGAACCTGGTTTTCAGGTGACATGAGTGCTTAGATAAAGGGCATTGGGCAATACTGCAGAGAACATATTCAGGGGGGGTTTCAGAGGATGCAAACACAGTCTACATAAGGCATTTTTAAGCCCATCTTTAAACAAACAAACAAAGACACCAGAAGCATAACAAACTATAAATCACTGATAAAAGGTTTCTTGGAGTGAGGTAGGTGGGTCATACATGTTATTGAACCTTTCTCATCCACAAATGTCACATTTTGAAGATGAATATAAGACTATCTGAAGGAGAAGTGAGCTATGTGGTCCTCATAATATCTTCAAATATCAACCACATCAGCTATGCTTTCTGTCAAGAATTACAAAGGAACAATTGCAAGACTAAATTTTTAAGCAAATGCCTGCAGAAAAGTATTCTGTGTCACTAAGAAGAAAGACCCATTTCCTTAGGATGAAAACATGCAGAAAATAAAACAGTCTTGAAAGTTGAAACACTTGGATGGAGGGAAGGAATTTTTTTTAATGGGAATTTTTCTTAGATGTTGGAAGTTTAAAAAGAACAAATACCTTAAAGTTGATATAAAGATTAGCAGGCACTGTACTAAGCAGTTCACATACATATGCTGTTTTAACCTTATCCATACAAGCATGGGATGCTCCAGGCAAGACTACTGGAGTGGGTTGTCACGCCCTCCTCCAGAGGATCTTCATGACCCAGGGATCGAACCCACATCGCTTACATCTCCTGCATTGGAAGGCGGGTTCTTCACCACTCATGCCACCTGGGAAGCCCTGTTTTAACTTCACCAGAGCCCTAAAGTGGTAATAGTATACCTATTTATCATCCGAATTCTTCCCGTTACAAGTAACAGAAAATCAGACCTCAACTGCCTGAAGCTTAAAGGGAAGTTATTCACTCAGGTTAACTGGAAAGACTCAGAGTTGGGTTAAAGCCCCTTCAGGACTTAAACTACCTCACCAAGGCTTGGACTCTGTCCAAATCTCCACCACTTCCTGTTGAATCCCCTTCTGAGGTTCAGGACAGTCCCCCAGCAGCTTCCCGCTCTCACCCTGTGAGGAGAAGCGCAGCTGCAGTTTCACGTGTTCCCTTGTTCCTGCACTCAGCAGGAAGAATAAAGGAATGTTCCCTGTAGCTCCCACAAGTAGACAGAGTCCATCTGATCAGACCCGCTCAGGCCCACGTGCTTGCCAGCTATAAGTCACTGTGGCCAGGACACCGAGACTTTCTGCTAAGATGAGGCTGGTCGTGTGCTCCATCCCAGGACGCCTGATGGCACAGGGCTCATGGACGCTGTCGGGAGGAATAAGAAATGCCCCCTTTATGTATAGAACCCAAAAGGAAGACCTACCTGACTGATCCTAAAGCTCTGGGCTCTCTCCTCTGTGCTGGAGGGACACTCCCAGTCACAGAACAAAAGGTTCTCTGACCAGTGACCCTGCCTTGTCTCCTAGCCCCATCACCATCAGAACGTCAATCAAGGTTACAGTGTCTGTTGGAAAAGCTTCCAAGAGTATGTGAAGATTAATAACTTAAAATTCACTTCATAATGAATTTAATTTGGCTTTACCAAAAAATCTTAGCTTAATTTTAGTCAGTTTCTACAAACTTTCTTTTTTTTTCTACAAACTTTCAAACAAGAGTAGCCACCTTAGAAAATTTAATTCCACTAGGAAAAAAAAAAACCCTTCAATGAATCTTCTAATTGTCTTGTTTCATCAATATAATACCATTCATTCCCATGTTACATCACTAACGTGGCCTTCAACAATCAACGATCTATCTCCAACCAACTTGGTAAGTTCTTTAGACCTCTCTTTCAGAGGAGTGGAGAAAAAAGGGACTATTTGCATTTTGTATTTTGTGTCTGTACGTTCAGCTGAACTTCGTTTCAATAAAAGTTGAATACACACTGAGTCAGTGTCTCAAGCTTCTGTTGGTCTCCGGGTTGGGCCAGAGTGAGGCGTTAAGTACGGCATCCAAGCTTACCTCTAACGACTAAAAAGCCAAAGAAATGTACGAAACAGTGGATTTCAGACGCTGGACAACGGACAGTGCGTGATGTGATGCTTAGAGAAGGGAAACCAGGTGGGCCCAGGCGACTCCAAGCCATAATCGAGGCAGGGCGGCGGCCCGGCGACCCGGGACAGGCGGGTTCCAGGAACCGCGCGGGGCGCGTGGGGAGAGAGCCGCGGGTACAGCGCCCCGGGCCGGGCCTGCGGCGCGGCCCTGTGCGGCGCGCGGCCGACGAGCGTGCGCGATAAGAAAGCCCCGCCCAGGCGTACTGGGCGCTCGGCAGGGCCGGCGAGCATGCGTGATGAGGCTGCAAGCGGAACGGGCCCGGCGAGCATGCGCAGTGTGGCAGAGCCGCGGCGGGCCTCCGGAAAGCGGTTCCCGGCCCGGGGCGGCTCGCTGATGAGCATGCGCGCTGGTGCTAGCCTGGCGCGGCGATGGTTGCTAGGCAACGACGAGCAGCGTCGGTGGAGGGCTCCGGCCGCTGTGGGCGTGCGGCGGGTGGGGTCGATTGCGCGGCAGGTGTGGTCTCCGGTGGGGTACGGGGGAGGGGTGGGCGAGGGGGCGCCCTGCAGGCGAAAGCGGTGGGCACTGTCCTGCCCACCTGCTCCGCGGCCATCCCTTGGGAGGGCCTGAAGGGTCAGCGCTTGAGAACCGTAACCTGTCCGTTACTGAAACGCTTCACGTGAACAGCTGACCCTTGAACTCAGTGTGAACTGCTGAGTCCTCCCGTGTGCTGTGCGCGGATGTTCTTCAATAAATACCGTGCTACAGCGCCTCGCCCTCCCTGGAGCAGGACAGGGGGGCGCCTGGGGCTCGAGCGTCCTGGGGCCTTGGTCAAACCACTGGTACCCAGGGACCGGAGGATTTCAGTTACATCTGTCTCTGTGCTTCTGGCCAACCTAGGTGCAGTCTCATCAAAAACGTAAAACGAGGGATTCCTAAGTTATAAAACGTAATAAGACAGTGTCCAATTGCCTTTTAAAAATTGTGTTCCTCTTGTATGCCTGTGTGTTTAACTAGGGTGTTTATGAATTAGCTTAAAGTCACTTAGACAAATTGGTAACTAATTACTTTGGCACCACAGTAGTGTTTTTATGTTACCAAGTCCTACATCTTTTAACTAATTGTTAACAATGGAATTTACAAAGAAAGAATATTCCTATTAATTTTAGCTCTAAATACTGGCTAAGGATTAACTTTCTAAGCCTACCATTGCCACAGACTAATTATATAATTTCGGTGGAGTCAGTAATCTCTGGATGTTTTCTCATTTTAAAATGAAGTTAGCATGTGTGTGCGCGCGCGCAAACGTGCGAGCTCAGTTGTGTCCGCCTGTTTGCGACCCAAAGTGAAGTTGGACTATACCTCAAAAAAATGAAGTTGAACTAAATACTTGAAAATAGTTTCTAATGCTGAAATTTAATGACACTATAGGACGTACAAGGGGCACCGTTTTTAAAAGCTCTTATCCTGATGTTAATCACAATGGCTTCCATGAGATAAAACTGTCAACTGCAGATGGTTAGCTGTGATTATTAAACAATTTTTAGGATGATGTAAACTATAATCTGCCAGGTTGTGGGCGTTTTTAAAGTAGAAGATTCTGGTAGTGATCTTTCAGCATTTTAAATGTCTTCTGCCATTTCTTCAGCCTAGACTGTTGTGATGAAACATTGGATGGAAACTTCCTTCATGCCTCTCTTGATGCCAGAATTGAAGGGGAACGAGGTTGCCATGGAAACGGTCACCTCGCTTCTAGAGGATCTTGGCAGCAGCTAAGCCCTGACTTTTCTCATTCTACATTTCTCATTCGACACTTTCTCCTTAGGAAGTTCATTCTGTGGGACTAACTGGATGTAGGTGTCCATCCTGAGACTCACATTAGGGATTACTTCCTTTCTTGTCTTACAATCAGGCCCTCAGTACTGCTCCCTAGATGACTTCAACAGGGTACTGTCTCTCCCCACCCCAATGTATTTTAGTCTCTTGTCTTCTCAGATGGTAAAGAATCATAAGATATACCCTTGTCTAAAAACTGACAGGGGTCAATTCCAAATTCTTCCTCCAGCTTTGAAGGGAATTGGGCTGTGTCATTTAATCCTGACAGTAGTCCTGCATGGGGAGTGCTGTGTGTGTGTCTTGAGCTGGGCAAGCAGACTCAGATATGCTACATATTTTGCAAACAGAGCAAGCCTGGAACCTGGCTCATGGTCTGTAGTCTGTGCTCTTGGCAGGGGGAAGTCACAGGCATTCCTCCTCCGTCCCAGGGCATTCACTGTTCCCTTCTCCTCTGAAACGTAAACCTCTGCTGACTTCTGGAGCCCCTTTGCTTTTCTCATGCTGTGGGGCAGCATGTTCATCATCCACTCTCTGTCCTTCAATTTCCAGGTTTAGTATTATTTCTTTAAGAGGATTCCCTGATGGCTCAGATGGTAAAGATTCTGCCTGCAATGCAGGAGACCCAAGTTCGATCCCTGGATCAGGAAGATCCCCTGGAGAAGGAAAATGGCAACCCACTTGAGTATTCTAGCCTGGGAAATCCCATGATCAGAGGAGCCTGGCAGGCTACAGTCCATGAGGTTGCAAAAAGTCACAGGAACTAACACTTTGACTTTTCAAGAAGTATTTCATGTGCATTCTCTGATCTTTTAGTCTGAAATTTTGTTGTATTCACGCAAGATACCATTACATTTAGCAATGGATTGTTCTCGTTCACATTATTATGTTTCCCCCAACTCACTGGAGAACTGCTTGAGGACAGGGCTTGATCAAGATGCAGCTGGCTTGAATTCCTCCAAGACCAGATCACGGAGCGTGGGCTGTGGTGGTAGGCGGTCCTGTCACTTCACCATCAGTTAGACCCTCAATTTTATCTCTTCCCCATAAACTTCATCAGATGTTTTATGCACACTCTAACTCTGACTTTCTGTTGACTTTTTCACAGTAGAAGAATTAAAGGACTGGGATATGAAATGATGATATAATTTGATATAGCCAAGCAACAGCTTCTCCCGAATCAGCATGTTAAGAAATAAGGTACACAATCCTGTTTAAAACACAGACGTTGTTTTACTCATGCATATGTTTTAACTCAGCTATATGATGGTATAAAAAGAGTTTGCAAACCTTGCATCAGTGAGGCACTGTCAATGTAGTGCTTGGTGCAAGCATTTCTTAGCTGCAGAGCAGTTTTATTTTGTATAAGTTTTCACCAAAGAAACATGCACTTAAATGCAAGGTACTCTGTAGTATAACAGAAACAAGCTTTGCCTAATTATAGTGAAACAATGTGCTCGGGCATGCACAACTTTTATAGGTCAGAATATATTTATTCTTATTATAATTAAGGCCTTAGTAATTAAGTGAAAAGATGTTACTGTATCATTAACATAAATGAGACTGGGCTTTGGTCCCCCGACTTGGGTAGCGATAGGTGCAGCGTTCTTTACTACTGGATCTGGTCTGGTATGCCATCAAGGTTGAGTATTAAAGTGTAAGCTTTCTTGTAAATGAGCCATTAGATAATGTAACTATAAGGCTTTTTCCCCTACTTTTTAGGGTCATTCCTCCAAACAGGATAACTTAGCAGTCACTGCAGTGGCTTTACAAGATCACATTGTACATGATCTTCAACTTCAAAATCTTTCAATAGCAGACTCTTCTAAGACAAAGGTACAAAAGACAGAGAACAGATCCAAATCTCTAAGAAGAAATACAAAGGCCCTAATAGATACTGGACTTAAGAAAACCACACAAGGAGGCCCTAAAGTGGAAGATCCAGAAAAAGAATATGTTCTTGATCCAAAACCACCACCATTAACTTTAGGTAAGCTGATCTCATCACTCTTATTTTGACTTACTAGAGCTAAAGAATCTAGTTGAGATGAATAGTACCATTTTCTCTGGTACAGAAGTTATTTTAATTTACAATCTTACAGAAAGATATGTGTGTACTAAAGTTTAAAAACAGTGGTGGGGACAGTTTGAGCAAAAATTAAAGACAGTAATGATAAATGAAAGTTGCTTAGTTGTGTCCGACTCTTTGCAACCCAATGGACTAAACAGTCCATGGAATTCTCCTGGCCAGAATACTGGAGTGGGTAGCCTTTCCCTTCTCCAGGGGATCTTCCCAACCCAGGAATCGAACCCAGATCTCCCACATTGCAAGCGGATTCTTTACCAGCTGAGCCACAAGGGAAGCCCAGTAATGATAAGTAGAGCAAGAATAAGTAAGAGGAGAATAAAGTAAATATCGTTAATCTACAGTGATAGAAATAAATCATTGAATAAATAATAGGAAAAGCTCTTTCTTACAGTCGATTAACAGCTATTAAATATAGTAGATAGGGGCTAGAAATAGGAAATCAGCATCTGGCCAAGACCATAGTGATAAGAAGCAGCCACATCACTTTGCTGACAAAGGTCCGTATAGTCAAAGCTATGGTTTTTCCAGCAGTCATGTACAGATGTGAGAGTTGGACCATAAAGAAGGTGGCAGCCAAAGAATCAGTGCTTTCAAACTGTTTTTCTGGAGAAGACTCCTGAGAGTCCTTTGGACTTCAAGGAGATCAAACCAGTCAGTCCTAAAGGAAATCAACCCTGAATATTCATTGGAAGGACTAACATGAAGCTCCAATACTTTGGCCACCTGATGCGAAGAGTCAACTCATTAGAAAAGACCCTGATGCTGGGAAAGATTGAGGACAAGAAGAGAAGGGGATAACAGAGGACGAGCTGGTTGGATGGCATCACTGACTCGATGGACATGGGTTTGAGCAAACTCTGGAGAAAGTGAAGGACAGGGAATCCTGGCATGCTGCAGTTCATGGGGTCACAAAGAGTTGGACATGACTTAGTGACTGAACAACAACCACAGTGACGACAGTGGTACCCGGATGCTGGAAGTAGTGGGGAGTGGCGCTGAGACTTGGATCTGGGCACAGCCTCAGAGCGTTGCCCCAAGGACGTACTCACTGCACAGAGAAAGCGGCGGCACCTTGACCAGGTGAAGAAGTCGGGCCAGGCTCTCAGAAGGGCGCAGGCCCCTCCTAGACATTCCCGCCAGAGAAGCATCTCTCAGTCTGTTCTGAGGACACATCAGCTGACCCAGGGGGAGGTTCCTGGCCGGGGCTCCGCAGATGCGTCAAGAGAAGCAAATAAAGACCGAGGTGCCAGGCCAGGTCCTGAGGGGCCAAGGGGGCAGGCCAGCTGAGCACATGTGGAATCGGGGTCAGAGCAGAAGGGCATCAGTGAGACTAGAAGGACGCCCAGCAGGGCGGACAGATGAATCGAGAGCGCTGGATCAACAGGCCGAGCAGGATGGGACCACGGCACTCAGGTCCCATGACATGTTAGCATCTGGAGAGAGTGAGTGCAAGGCACGTGAGGCTCCTTTACATGGTTTTACAGCGTTTACAAGTCCAAATTATTGTAAGCTGCAAGCTTAGGAATAGAAAAGGTTTATTTCTTATTTTTATTTTATTTGTTGCTAGGGAGGTCAGATCCAGCCATGCACCCGGGAGGAGGCTGGCAAACATCAGCTAGCTTCTGCCATAGATTCACGGGGTTAAGTGGATTTGTCCCTGCAAAGAACAGAGGAAGAATGTTCTTAATGGAGACAAAGGCATGTGCAGGCGTCTGAAGCAAGACAGCCTGGGTATCTGAGCTGCTGAAATAAGAATGAGCTGGGGCCTGGTGAGTGAGGGTGGGGCAGAAGGAGAGACTGGGGAAAAACCAGGAGGGGACGATTAGGAGAGGGGCTTGTGGTGTAACACTTTTGTTGTGATGAAATATACATAATTATCAAGTTTACCACTTCAGCATTTTTAGGTGTGTAGTTCAGTGGCAGTGAGTGCACTCCCACTGCCCAGCAATCATCACCGCTGTCCGTCCCCAGAACGTCTTCATCCTCCCAGACTCTGCCCACTTAAAACACGCCCAGCCCCTCTCCCCACCTCGGCACCCACGGGTTTCCTCTCAGTCTCTGAGAATCTGACCACTTTGGATCAGTCGTTTGGTATCTGTCCTTTTGTGTCTGGCTTGTTGCTCTCGGCATAACGTCTTCAGGGTTCGAGCCGATAGCTGCAGCACTGTCAGAACCTCCTCCTTGTTTAGGCCTGAACGCCGTCTGCTTGCCGGCATACAGCACGTCTGTCCATTCCGTCGGGGGATGCTTGAGTTGTCTCCTCTTTCAGTTACCGCGAATGGTGCTGCCAGGAAGCTTTTTGTACAAATACCTGTTTGAGTCTCCGCTTTCCATCCTCTGGGGCATGTGCCGAGAAGAGGAATTGCTGGAGCGTGTGGTAATTCTATATTTAATTTTTTGAGAAACCGATGCTGGGCCTGGAGAGGAGGTTTGCTGGGGACCTGGTGGCGGAGGGCGGCTGGCGGGTGGAGAAGGAGCCAGAGGCCTGCGGGCGGGAGCTGCCCTGTGAAGGGGAGCCCGCGGCCCCCACAGTGCCAGACGGAAGCTCCGACCTTCTCCCCGGAACTGCTCACAGCGCTAGTCCCGTCCTAGATGCGGTGTCGCACAGGAAGTGCGCAGCTTGGAGCACGAGACAGTGGTTAGTGACGGCCTTCCGTCTCACGGTTTACAGAAACCACCAGGAGCCTCGGCACCGTCGCCTGAGGCTGTAAATTACACCAGCCTCCCGACTTGGAGTAAAGGAGTCATTCTTTCAGGACCTCTGAATGAAAAACACATCTTAGCATTATGTATGTTAGCTACTAGTGAGGTGGGTCTATTAGGGGAAGCACACTAACTGAAACCGCCCACCCTGGCCAGGCACCATAGTGACCATTTGCCTGAGCTGTTTTATGACAAGAGGTCCTGGAAAGGAACACGGAAGTAATAAGCCACTCCCCACCGGAAGAGTGCGGGAAAGGTCAAAAGGAGACGCCACGTGGCCGACACCTCCCAGAATCCTCCTCTCTGGCCTCCATCTTGGCTGAACAGGGCCGCACCACCAGGAAGGACTCTGAGTCAGAAGGATTGGCTAAGACACCCCGGAAACTAACCCCATCACCATCAAACCCGAGACGGCAAGCCACGTGGCAGGGCAGTTCTCCTGGGTTCCCTGGCCCTCCCGCTCTCCAGCCGGGTGCCCCTTCCCAATAAAACCTCTGGCTTTGTCAGACATGTGTCCCCTCGGGCAATTCATTTCCGAGGGTTAGACAAGAACCCAGTTTCGGACCCTGGAAGGGGTACCACACCCTCTTAACTGTTGTCCAAACCTAATACCGCTCTTGGGTTCCCATCTTTTCTTGCTGACATGCTGGAGTTCTCAGCATCCTCTTTGTCTGAACCCCATGTTGACTTCGCCACAGAGACTGTCCTCTCCAGGTCTGTGTCTGATCATATATTTGAACACTCTTCTCTCCAACTACTGTTTTGTCTAACGGTTTTTCCTCTTTATTCTTTATGATTTGGGGGATTTCCATCCTTACCCATCCTTGAAATCACAAAGATGTCCCTGTCTTTTCTTCACTACCTTTGAAGTTTTGCATTTCACTTAGATCTCAGCCCAGTTTATTTTGCAAATGATTTGGGGAACATTATTTCATATAACGATTAAAGTTAGATTCTTCCCTCAAATCATGAGCCATGCTTTCTTAGCTGGCTTGTGGCACCACGTTGTGCAGGCAGTGAGTTTTCTGTGTTTATTCGAGAGACGGAGAGGGAGAGTGTGCATGATTTGGGGCTTCTGTTTCTATGTCAGTATCTCACTGTTTTCATTCATAAAATTTTGTAATGTGCTTTCATTCTGGAACACCTGTCTTTCAGATGTCAGACTTATCCTTGAGTTTCCTTATTTTCTGCCTCCTCCTGTACCGTATTTTCCTACTTTGAGATATCTTAACTTCCTCCTGCGGTCTTTTGGTTGACTCGCGTATTTCTAATGGACACTAAAACGTTTCCATCTTCGAGAGCTCTTTCTTGTACCCTAAGCGGGCCTGTCGAGGCCTCCCGTTCTTGTTCTGTAGACCTAGCACTTCACTCTCTGTCCCTGAAGGCGGCCCTGTGGGCCTCAGTGGCCTGGGGGCGGGGTGGGGAAGCTGTGCTCACGCCCCCACCCCCGCTCTCCCGAGCTCCTCGAAATTCCTTCTCCAGAATGAGTGCTTCCGCTGGAACAGATGCTCTGGGCCTGCACTAGGGTAGACATGCAGCAGACCCTCAAACGTGGCTGAGGCAAGGACTGATCCTAACAGTAACTGTACGTCATAAGAAGTTTTTAGCAAGGGAAGAACTGGGTTGATGCTCATGTTACAAAGGTCACTGGCAGCAGAAACAAGCAAAATTGGAGGAAGGCAATGCCGAAGGCTGAGAGAGAAGTTAGCTGAGAAATGAGGAGACCTTTGGCCAACACCTGTGAAAAATTTGTAAAATAGGATATCAGCCCAGCTTGCTTTATAGAATCATTGTGAAAATGAAATAGATATGTGGAATTCTTTGTAAATAAAAACAACATAAATCTAAGATATCATTCATCTTGAGAGTCCTTGGACAGCAAGGAGATCCAACCAATCCATCCTAAAGGAAATCAACCCTGAAAATTCACTGGAAGGATTGATGCCGAAGCTGAAGCTCCAATACTTTGGCCACTTGATGCAAAGGGCTGACTCATTGGAAAAGCCCCTAACGCTGGGAAAGATTGAGGGCAGGAGGAGAAGTGGATGACAGAGGATGAAATGGTTGGATGGCATCACGGACTCGATGGACATGAGTTTGAGCAAGCTCCGGGCGTTGGTGATGGACAGGGAGGCCTGGCATGCTGCAGTCCATGGGGCTGCAAGGAGTTGGACATGACTGACTGACTGAAGAACACCAGATTATTCTCCTTGACTTCTGTGCACCCATATAAAAGCAGCATTCTAAGTACAGTGGAATGAAGTAAGTAATGTGAGTGTTTTGCCTTAATACTTGCAAAATAATGTCATTAAAATGATGCATGAGTTACCACCCTGTAAAACGCACTGGACTCACATTCCCTGTTGTTTGAACTTCAGCACAGAAGTTGGGCCTCTTTGACCCTCCCCCATTGCCACTGTCGGCGGATGAATGGGCCAGAGTGAAGCAGAGATCCGTGGAGCAGGGGGACTCCACGCAGCCGTGCCCGATATGCAGAGAGGAGTTTGGACTTCACCCGCAGGTGTTTAACGTGAGCCTTAGATAAGCAGGCCTACGGGGCGTTCTCCAGCGACTGGACTCTGAACTGGGGATTAAGAGGGTCCACGCTTCTTTCTTCCAGTCTCTTCCTCCTATTTGATCCTCAAAGACTCAACATTTTCTTTTCCATTAGTTAAGTTTGTATATGAGAAAGAGCTAAACACCCTCCCTGAACATTCTTATTTACTGATTGCTCTTGATTCTCAAGTACAGAGTTTGTACGGGACTGTTCCCACTCCACTGGCCATGCGCAGCGGGGGTGGGGAACCCAGTTGGCAAGTTGCACAGAGCAGAAGAGTGGGGATCATTTATGTTGTTTCAAGAATTGAAATCCTAAAAGGAAAACTGAGCTTGAATATCTCCAAAGAATCTGTGGGAGGATCTTTAAGTAAAATCTTATAACAATCTTTATTATGAAAGTTTACCATAGTAAGACTGATGATAATATAGATAATATAGTATCAGTCTATGTCATAGGTTTTTTTTTTTTCCTGTATATACTTTATCTAATTAAACTTCAATCTCCTGAAAGTTAAGGGGCTCTGCTATTTCTAGAATCTTTTGTTGTTTTAGCTAATGACCACCCTGAGTAATTTCTCTCATATGTAGCATTATGCTTCCTACACAGAGGCACTTGGAACTTTGCTTTTAAAAAAAGAAAATACAGCAAATATATTTAAAAGCAGGCTTAGAATTCACAGCCTAGCAATCCCAGGCTTCATCTACCAACCTGACACATAAACTCTCAAACTTCATTTGTTTTAATGAGTTTTTATGGTTAATGAGTTATTTCACAATCATAAACTTTTGTTCTTTACTAATTTGAACTCACACATTATTTTAAACATACTTATTATGTTCTAGTTCTCTATCAAGACCTAATCTCTTGTGTACATGGAAGTTGGGTATTTCAGAAAGATTGTGGTCCTTAAAGCATGGAAGTAGCTCTGGGACGATTTACCATTTAGTTAATGAGCTAATAAAGTCGAGAGGAGTCTTTCTGGCCCCAACAACCTCTTCCTTAATTGTGCTGCAGACACTTGGTCCAATGGTGATGTGAAGAAGGAAATCTTGAAGCTGAGTATCTGAAGGGGGACTGGAATGTCACACATCCAGCATTTCTCCCTTTCTGCTGTTTATAAATGTCTCACTGTAATATTTTTGGTTACAGATATAGACACGTGTGTCTTTTGCATTTCAAGTTTTAGTTGTCAGGTTTAGCTTTTTCCTTTGTTGTTGTTCAGTTATTAAGTCATGTCTGACTCTTTGCAACCCCACAGACTGTAGCCCATCAGACATCTCTGTCCATGGGATTCTCTAGGCAAGAATACTGGAGTTGGTTGCCATTTCCTCCTCCAGGGGATCTTCCTCACCCAGGGATTGGATCCCAGTCTCTTGAATTGGCAGGCACATTCTTCACCACTGAGCCACCTGGGAAGCCCAGTTTTTCCTTAGTCAGCATTTTCCCAACATTTGATCAGTTCAGCTCATGTGTCTCTGAGGTGGGCTTTATATCCCTTACAGATGAGGAAATAAACAATTCCCATGATTCATGGCAGGTTGCCTCAGGACGTGTACTGAGCAGGGCTGGGGTCCAACCCTGACTTCTAGGACACTTTCAGTGTGTTTACCACCACTGAGTCATTCAGTTTTCTTATCTCAGAGAATGTTTGCCAATAACAACTATTTATGAACATTTAATAGTATATTTTAAATATACAGAGTTCAGTTCAGTTGCTCAGTCATGTCTGACTCTTTGTGACCCCATGGACTGCAGCAAGCCAGGCCTCCCTGTGCATCACCAACCCCCAGAGCGTGCTCAGACTCATGTCCATTGCATCAGTGATGCCATCCAACCATCTCATTCTCTGTTGTCCCCTTCTCCTCCTCCTCCTCCTGCCTTCAATCTTCTCCCAGCATCAGAGTCTTTTCCAATGAGTCTGTTCTTCCCATNTTAATTCCAGCTCGTGCTTCATCCAGCCTAGCATTTCTCATGATGTACTCTGCATATAAGTTAAATAATCAGGGTGACAATATACAGCCTTGATGTACTGCTTTCCTAATTTGGAACCAGTCTGTTGTTCCATGTCTGGTTCTAACTTGCTTCTTGACCTGAATGCAGATTTCTCAGGAGGGAGGTCAGGTGGTCTGGTATTCCCATCTCTTTAAGAATTTTCCACAGTTTGTTGTGATCCACACAGTCAAATGTTTTGGCATAGTCAATAAAGCAGAAGTGGATGTTTTTTCTGGAACTCTCTTGTTTTTTGTGTAATCCAGCGGATGTTGGCAATTTGATCTCTGGTTCCTCTGCCTTTTCTAAATCAAGCTTGAACATCTGGAAGTTCACGATTCATGTACTGTTGAAGTGTGGTTGGAGAATTTTGAGCTAGACTAGATGGACCTTTGTTGACAAAGTAATGTCTCTGCTTTTTAATATGCTATCTGGGTTTGTCATAGCTTTTCTTCCAAGAAGCAAGCTTAAACGGTGATAATTTAAAAGGACCCACATTAATGAGTTTTTGCAATTTAGGCTTCTTGGTGGCAGTAAGTTTCAAGGATTGGTTTTAGAACTTCTGAGTTGTGTTTATTGTGCTATTTCTTCCATTCGTCCCATTAAGAAGAAAAGTATAGACTGAATAAAGGCATGATGGTGGGGTGAGGGGATGATTACTTTAAAACTGGGAGGTTTCCCCCAGACCAAGTGGCCCAGGGAAGGCATGGGGCTTCCATGCCTTCCATGCCTTGGAACATTCACTCCTGGGGAAGTTTATTTTCTGCGACCCCCTCCAGCCCAGCACCGTCAGAGAGAATTCAGACATGCGGAGCAGGGGAGTGGACTGCATGCTGGCTGGCCTGGTCTCACCCTTCCCTGCTCCTTCCTTCCAGAAGAACCAACGGCCTTTCTTTTCATTCAGTCTAAGCTCTGTTGTCCCAGCCCAGAGTATCTTTAGACAGTCTGCATATAACATCTCAGCCCAGAATATCATAGCATCACTGACTCAATGGACATGAGTCTGAGCAAACTCCAGGAGACAGTGAGGGACAGGGGAGCCTGGCGTGCTGCAGTTCTTAGGGTCATGAATGGGCACAACTGAGCGACTGAACAACAATGGAATACCATTATTCAGTGGGAATTTGGGCCAGAGAAAGGTGGAATTTTCTGGCAACCACCCTTGCCCTGCGTTTAAAGGAGAAAGGTAATTCATGTGTCTCTGGGATTTACTGCTCATTAGAGAGTGCAGTTGAGTTGAACAGAGTCCTAAGAAAAGGTGTTTGCTTTCTGTCCTCTGCACCCCGCCCCCAGCCTGGGTCCCTGCCAGCTGTGCTCAGAATAGAATCTGCCCAGAAATATTTCTCTTTTATAATCATCTCATTTTAAAATATACACTTGTTCTGTAGCAAACTTCACGTGTTTGTTTGATGTTTCAGATTGTTGTTAAGTTTCTCTTGTTGAGATTATATACCCGTGCCATGCTAAACTTTAACTCCAAATATTGTAAATATCAAGGTTGTTAAATCTGCTTCTTAACTTTTTCAAAGAAGCAACACAGCTTACCTTTTAAAGAGTCAGAACTTTTAATTAATGCATTTATGCTGCTTCTCCTTTAAACTGATTTAAACTTCAAACCCCGTTTGTCTTCTCTGAACAGGTGCTGCTCTCCTGCTCCCACGTGTTCCACAGGGTGAGGAGCCCCTGCCCGCCCCGCGCCCCCAGGGGCACACGGCACCCTCCCAACTCAGAGGGTTGGGGCTGTCTCTCACTTTGCTGTTTAGTCCCTCAGTCGGGTACAACTCTTTTCGACCCCGTGGACTGTGGCCCACCAGACTCCTCTGTCCATGGAATTTTCCAGACATGGATCCTGGAGTGGGTTGCCATTTCCTCCTCCAGGGGATCTTCCCCACCCAGGGATCGAACCTGTGTTGGCAGGCAGATTCTTTACCACTGAGCAACCAGGGAAGCCCTCTCTCACTTTCCGGCTCCTGAAAAGAGCCATTTATTTTATCCCTATGATTTTAGACTAGAGTAGGACTCATCCTGTTTTGAGAATTGTGAATTCTCCATGGCGTTAGAGCCGCAAATGTCCCTACAGAGAGTGTGGTTAGTGACGACCGCCAGCGTGGGCGAGCACCCGCTCCCGCCGAGTTCACTACCCGGTCTCCTGAACGCAGGGACCATCCACCTTCACACAGGGGTGCTCAGAAATGTTTGATGTGCCTGCATGTACATTCTTGTAAAATATCATTTTTCATGAGGAAGGTGTTAACGTCTGATGAAACTTCTTCCCTTCATAATCTAAATTGGACTAAGTCTCATAATTATGTGAGAAAAAGAACACTATAATTACATGCGAAGTAAAACGTGTTGTTTCTGCGTAATTACTCGTGAAATTTCAAGTGAAATGTTTTCCTTCAGGCTTGCCTTCAGGCTTTTGAAAAGTTCACAAATAAAAAAACGTGTCCTCTCTGTAGAAAGAACCAGTACCAAACCCGGGTGATCTGCGATGGGGCCCGACTCTTCAAAATCAAGTGTGCGACCAGGTGAGCGGCCGAGCCCCGGGACGTGTCCCAGCCGCGCGGGAGCAGGCCTGCCCCGGGCGCGCTCCGGGGGCTGCGCGGTGGGGGTCTTCCCTGTGGCCCGGGGCTGACGGTGCCCTGTGCCCTAGGATCCAGGCGTCCTGGCGCGGACACGTGGTCAGGAGGTGGTACCGGGACCTGAGGAGGACGGTGCCGCCCACAGATGCCAAGCTGAGGAGGAAGTTCTTTGAAGCCAAGGTGGGTGTGACCCCGACGCCGCCGGCGGCTCCCCTGCCCGCAGCTCGCGGCGCCTGCGGGGGGCCCGTGACACCCTGAGCCGGGCTTCAGCTTTGGGCTCTTTTAAACGGTGGGATGCCGGCCCCGTAAACTGGCTCTCTAACCCGGATGGTAAATACTTTCAGATTTCCTTTTCTAGTCACCTCATAAAAGAAAGAGAAGTCGCTCAGTCGTGTCCAACTCTTTGCGACCCCAGGGACTGTAGCCCACCAGGCTCCTGCGTCCATGGGGTTCTCCAGGCAAGAGTACTGGAGTGGGTTGCCATTTCCTTCTCCATCATAAAACTTGTAAAATTGGATAAGGTGAAATTCAGAGCAAGCGTTTGTGTGTCCACCTTATGACAACGATTTAGATAAACTCATCTCTTCAGAGAAAAGAAAGGAAACGGGCTCAAGTTTTCACACCTCCTGAGCAACGGATGGACCTCCTGGCATCACCAAAATGCGAGAGAGTTTTAGAAATAAATAACTGTGGTTTCTGACTTTTCCTTTAACCAGTTTTTACCTGTTTGGGTTTTTTTTTTTTTTGGTCTGTTTAACAACTTTCCATACGCGCCTCATACAGAAAGGCACAGAAAGGCCAGGCACAGAAGAGGGGCCAGCCCCGACCTGCCTCCCAGCTCTGCGGCCTCGGGCGACACCCCGGCTCCTGCCTGGGGCCCCGTCTGTGCTGCGAAGGAGGGTGGAGCCCACAGCGGGCACCGGAGACCGTGTTTACTGTAAACATTACTGTATCATTCGGGTCTGTCTGTGTGCGGCCTTAGAGTAGTGCGATTCCGTAATTTGTAGACGCGCCCTGTATAAGAGGATGGCGTTGTGACTGTGTCACCTGGAATCACTGAGGCAAACCTGCACTGTTATCTGTTATCTGTGGACGCTCCACTCCCGTTTATTTCCATCCTTTCTAAAGGCATCTGTCTTCTAGCCTGCACTCCCACGTGGGATAATGAGCGATAGGAAGTTACCCTTTGCCATGCAAGGGGTGCCCTCTCTCCTGCCGTGTGATTCCTTGTGTCGAGAGCCTAAGGACTGAGCCCCGTGCGCTGGGGAGGGGGTCGCCGTGGGCCGTTGTCTGACCTCCTGCCCGACCTCAGGCTGCAGGGCTGATGTCCGTGCATCTCAGGACCCCACCATCCTTCTGCGTGCCTGGAGTTGCGGAAAGGGGGGGGGGGGGCGGTCTTCTTCAGTGTCCCTGAAAGTAGATGGACTTAGCTTGACCACAAAGCAGCGATCATAACAGATTTTTCTAATGCCCTTCCTGGTCGCCAGGTAATGGTTCCAAGCAAGGTAGCTGTCAGTGTGTGCAAAAGAAAATCAGAATCATGGCTCATGTGAAGTCACCACGCCTCAGACTTAATCGAGAAAGCGCACTTGATTTGCTTGCAGGACCGGGACACCAGTAAAAGCAGCATGTGAACAAGCGACCTTAAAATACTGAGTCTCTTGATGACCCCGAGGTTGATGCGGGTGGAGCGCCTCCCTTCTGTGGCCCAGCGCAGCCGGTTGGAGCTGCCCCGGAGCCGCCCCCTTTCCTGGCTGGTGGGATGGCCGCTGGAAGGTGGCAGAAACAGGGAGGAGGAGGCCGTGGATGGGGAATCTGGGGTCCCCCACACACCGCAGGACAGGCGCAGAGGACGTCTGGGGCAGGGGCAGGGCCTGGGCGGCTGCAGGTGCCCCCGTGAAAACCCCCGAGTTCCGTGCCGCCTGGGCCTTTCTCAAACGTCCCCATTTTACAGAAGAAACAGCAGATTAGCTAAAACTCCGGATAACGGATGCGATAGAAAGAACACATTTCACCTTCACTGTTTCCTGGACAGTGAGCCTCTCCCCTGAATGGCTCAGGGAGCAGCATGCTCACCTCCTTAGTAGGTCTCAGCTCCACCGAGTCTACCGTCCTCTCTAGAAAGCTTTGTCCCTTCCCCCACACGGAGTCCCTGTGCTCACCACCCCTACCCCCCACCCGAGCCTGGATGGAGCCGCCCTCACTTCCTCCCCGGCCTCTGTCTCACCTCCCGCGTGTTGTGGTTCCTCTGAGCCAGTAAGCGACTGCCTCCCATGTTGGTTTTTCTTCTTCCTCTTATATTCCTTCCATGCTTTTCTGTATTCTTAGCCTGACAGTAATGCTTATTCTCTGTGTTCCTCTTAATAATTTATAATATATAATAATCATTATTATTATATATAACTATTACATATATATATGTGGGCTCTCAAATCAGAAATTATCATTTCCGCTTGGAAAAATTTAATTACAGACTCAGTAGTTGTTTTACCTTCTGTGTATATTTTTTAATTTTCATGCATCAGTTTAAGATAACTTTTGAAAGCATAGACTACCCTTTGTGTTCACATGGAGCAGAGTCGAGCGGCTCAGCCGGCTGTACACACGCATGCCACATACTTCAGATTACTCTTCCCCCAGAAGCATTTTAACTTAGTGAATTTATACTCCTACTTTGTTGCACAAATAGGCATTTTATAATTGCCTCTTTCAATTTATGAAATCTAGAATCCCCGGCTCTCTCTGCTGGTTTTCTAAATCTTCTCCACAATTTTACCCATAAAAAGAAGAGATTAAGTGTAGTCAGGATGGTGAAGTGAGTAGAGGATGGAATTAATATAAGATCAGAAGAGGCTTCATGACAAAATTGCTATTTGAAGTACATAGCAAAAGAAAAAAGATAAAGAAAATTTTTAAAGTCAAAAGGATTAAGATGAGTAAGTGGGGGGAGAGAAGGAAGGTGGCTATTTAAAAACAATAGAAAAAAATAGTAGAAACTTTCCCAGGTTTTTTGCATTTAACATGAATTTGTATTACACCACATACTCTATTTGGAAGTATTCTAATGAAAGAATCATGAACTCTGCTACCTGTCTCCAACTAGTTTACACTTATTTCATCAAGAAATAAAATCTTATTTATGTTTCATATTGCATATTTCTTTTTACAGGTCCTTTCAATATTTAACTTAATTCAGTGATTAATGGCAACACTCCATCACATGTAGCAGTGAAAAGAATATTTAGATATGAGACTGCTCTCTGAAATACCTAAGTGGATGTCCTGCAGACTACTTATCCAACAAGAGACAATGTTTTTCATGTTCCATAGTAGTAAAGTATCACTGATAAAGTGAATTAAGAAACTGAAAAATTTTATAGAAAATTTAGTGCACCGTGTATTTGGCATTCATTATATTGTAGGCACTTTATTACTGTTCCATTCAGTTGCTCAATTGTATCCAACTCTTTGTGACCCCGTGGACTGCAGCATGCCAGGCCTCCCTGTCCATCACCATATACCAGAGCTTGCTCAAACTCATGTCCATAGAGTCAATGATGCCATCCAATCTCATCCTCTGTCGTCCCCTTCTCCTCCCACCTTCAATCTTTCCCAGCATCAGGGACTTTTCTAATGGAGAGTCAGCTCTTCCTAGGGATGATCTAGGAAATGCTAATCTACAACCCTAAGTGTCAGCATTATGGCAGAAAGTGAAGAGGAACTAAAAAGCCTTTTGATGAAAGTGAAAGAGGAGAGTGAAAAAGTTGGCTTAAAACTCAACATTCAGAAAACTAAGATCATGGCATCTGGTCCCATCACTTNACTGCATTTTTCACACCCAGTCTCAAAGAATCACCCCACAGATGAGTCAGAATCTTTCAAGAGGAGGAGAAGTGCAGACACTGGAAAAGTCCAGTAATGCTCTCTCAGCCCAGGGGCCACAAAGCCGGTCACTGGGCAGAGTGACCCCTGAGCCGCATGCGCACACGGAGCACTGGGGCGGAGATGCGCCTTTGCACTTTGACACCAAAGATGCTCCACCTGAACCCAGCCACGAGGACACCTGTGAGCAGGTGGGTCCACAATGAGAAATATTCTGTAAAACAGCTGACATCAACAGAACAGTGTCATAAAGAAGAAAAGAGGAATGTTCTGGAACAAAGTTACTTGAGAGATATAACATTTAAATGTAATGAAAAATCTTTGGCCGGATCCTAGGTCAACACTAAACATGAAAGGAACATGAAAACCAAGCAGCTGTGACAGTGCCAAAGGAGGACATTGATCTCCCCAGTAACTGACCCCAAAGACACAGAGGCCTGTGGGTTACATGGGAAAGAACTCAGTGTCCCGAGGAAGCTCAAGGAGCTACCATAAAACACAGAAAATCCGTTCAACCATCTGAGGAAAGAGAAATTTAACAGAGTGATAGAAAAATTAAAAAGAACCAAGCAAATTCTGGAGCTGAAGTATACAATGAATGAAATGAAAGAAAAAAAAAAACCTTTAATAGAAGGCATAAACATTAGAATGGTTCAAACAGAAGAGTGTGAGTTAGAAGACAAAACTTCTGAAATTATTCAGTAAGAGGAGAACAAAGAAAAAAAAGTGACGAAGGTATGTGTGATCCTTGGAATACATTAGAAGAAACAATTTGTAAATTGTTAGAGTCCCAGAAGAAGAGAGGAAGAAGGAGGCAGATAGTATATAAAGAAACAATGGCTGAGAATTTCCCAGATGGGGGAGAGATTTAGACATCCAAGTTGGTAAACCTCATAGGTCACCAAACAAACTCAATTTAAAGAGATGTTCTCCAAGACACATTATAATAACTGTCAAAAATCAAAGACAGCATCTTAAAAGCAGCAAGAGAAAATAAGCTTATAACTAACTTAACAAGAAATTGCCCACAGGCTATCGGTGGGTCTCAGCAGACTCACAGGCCAGAAGGCGATATATTCAAGGTGATAAAAAGAAAAAAAACTGCCGAGCAAGAACACTTCACTAGCAAAGACGTCCTCCAAAAGTGAGGGAGAGGTGACAGAGCCTGCCCCGAACAGATGGGGGCTGGGGGACCTCGGCTCTAGGCCTGCCTCCCAAGACATGCTGAGTTTTTCAGGCTGAACACTCATTTCAGGAAGGATGCTAATTAGTGACATGCACGTGTGTGTGCTCAGTCATGTCTGACGCTATGGCCTGTGGACTATAGCCACCAGGCTCCTTTGTCCATGTCCATGGGCTTGCCCAGGCCAGAATACTGCAGCAGGCTGCCCTCCCCTCCTCCAGGCAATCTTCCTGACTCAGAGACCGAACCCTTGCCTCTTGTGTCTCCTGCACTGGCATACATGAGTTTGAGTAAACTCTGGGAGTTTGTGATGGACAGGGAGGCCTGGCGTGCTGCAGTTCATGGGGTCGCAAAGAGTCGGACATGACTGAGCGACTGAACTGAACTGAAGTGCCAGTGTGCTTGAGTGGAATCTGAGAGATGATTAAACTAGGTCACTGAGTTTCACATCACCCAGGAGTCTATAGATACACCCAGACTAGATGGATGTACACAGAGGACAGTGTGAGAACCATATCAGTAAATTACTGTGAGCTTCTGGGTGAAAGATTGTTTGGGAACTGCATTTTTCACACACAGTCTCAAAGAATCACAAATGAGTCAGAATCTATCAAGAGGATGAGGAATGCATACACTGGAAACGTCCA